GGTTCAAACCCAGCCCCAGCCAAAAACTGGAAAAAAAAAAAAAAATGCAGAGCCTCAGGCCAACCCCTAACAAGCTGATGTTATCACAACCCCCAGAGCACGCAAATGGGCTTTAACATTTGAGAAGCAATGGTCTAATACCCTCTAAGTGGAGCTGGTGCCTTTTTTCCCTCTTCTATAAATTTAAGTGCTATGCATGCAGTTACATTACACGGATATATTACCTAGTGGTAAAGTCTGGGCTCTTAGTCTAACAATCACCCAAATAATGTCCATTGTACCCATTAAGTAATTTCTCATCTCTCGCCACCCTCCCACCCATCTGAGTCTCCAGTGTCTGTCAGTCCTCCCTGTATGTCCATGTATACACATTAATTCTCCTTACAAGTGAGAACATGGGGTGTCATTTGTCTTTCTGTTTCCAAATTGTTTCACTTCAGATAATGGCCTCCAGGCCAGATATGGTGACTCAACACTTATAATCCCTCAACACTTATAATGCACTTTGGGGGGTGCTAGCAGAAGGATTCTTTGAGGCCAAGAGTAATAAAAAGAATTAACTGGGCCTGGGTGCATGCTTGTAGTCCCAGCTACTCAGGAAACTGAGGCAGGAGAAGTGATTATGCCCAGAAATTTGAGGTTGCTGTGAGCTATGATGACACCATGGCACTGTCTCCAGGGTGATGGAGTGAGACTCTGTCTCAAAAAGAAAAAAAATCATTGTAAGCCACAGTCAGTAGGTTATTGTGGGATTTCTCCCCTAGACCCCCAGTAGGGATGATACATGGTGATAAATGTTCTTTCCTAATAAACATGAGGAGCAGTGACTGCTTTCTCCCGGCCAGAGCTAAAACTCAACTAAGTTAGCCTGCCCCTATGACCTAATAAATAGAGATAATAGACCAATTCATCATAATGGAGGATTTTGATAACTACTCCTACAGTATCCAGTATCCAACTATAATCATGATAATAGCCTTTAAGTGCATAATGTGCTCTGCTATTACTGCACTCAGACAATGAAAAAATCATGATACAGCAAAATGACCACGTCACTTGGCAATTTTAAACTCTCTCCTGGAGACTTACTGTAGGGCATAAATGTGATGTGGGAACTGAGCTAAGTAATATGTCTTCATCAAAGGAAAGTGGCACAAGAACATTACTGGCACTCACAAAATGAGCATTCTTTGCTAATTGCATTAACAATGCATGCTTGTGAATTGAGGCAGAAAACAGACATTCAAAATCTGGATACACAAAGGTAATTTATAAAAAATAAGCATGTGATGGACATCTTGATGTCCCCATTACTAAGCTTTTAGAAATGGGCTAAGCGGCTCGGCGCCTGTGGCTCAAGCGGCTAAGGCACCAGCCACATACACCTAAGGCGGCGGGTTCGAATCCCCAGCCCGGGCCTGCCAAACAACAATGATGGCTGCAACCAAAAAATGGCTGGGCGTTGTGGTGGGCGCCTATAGTCCCAGCTACCTGGGAGGCTGAGGCAGGAGACTCGCTTGAGCCCAGGAGTTGGAGGTTGCTGTGAGCTGTGATGCCATGGCACTCTACCCAGGGGGATAGCTTGAG